TCAATTGTCACTCCAAGAGTTTTACATTCGTAAACTTGTTTAATTGGTTTGTTTTCAATTTCAATATTAGGTTGTGAATTTGAAACACTTTTGATCATTGGCTTCGAACCAATTAACATAAATTCGGTCTTAGCTACATTTAGGCTAAGTTTATTGGCAACTAACCATTTTCTAAGGTTTTCCAAATCAGAGTTCACTGCAGTCTCAAGGTGAGGTATAGAATCTCCAGTAGCGGTTAGATTTGTGTCATCAGCAAACAACCGAGGTTTTGTATTATTTAGACATTGAGGCAAACCATTAATATATATTAGAAAGAATAGTGGCCCAAGAATAGAGCCTTGTGGTACACCACATTTGATCGATTTTTCTGATGAAATGGATCCTTTTATTTGGCATTTCTGTTTTCGATTTGTGAGGTAAGATTTAAGAAAGGTCAAAGTTTTTCCTTTTATTCCATGAAGTTCCAACTTTCTTAACAGAATTTGATGATCAACAGTATCAAATGCTTTTTTCAGGTTAATTAAGACTACAAAGTTAAACATTTTTTTGTCTAAGTTCATAAACCAGTCATTAGTACAATCGAGTAATGCTGTAGCTGTAGAGTGAAATTTTCGAAAACCAAACTGAGAATTACTCAGAAGTTCAAATTTTGTTAAATAATTGTATAGTTGATCGTACAGAATTCGTTCCATAACTTTACTTATAGCTGGCAAAACTGAAATTGGTCTGTAGTTTCCTGCTGCATTTTGTTGGCCATTTTTGTAGAGAGGTATTACTCTAGCCACTTTCCATTTATCAGGGAAAGAGGAGAGAGTAACTGCCTGATTAAAAATATATGTCAACGAATCTGAAATGGCAGGAGCTGCTATTTTAATAATTTTACAAGAAATTTTATCAATTCCAGTTGCTTTATTGCCAGAAAGTCCATGCAAGAGATGGTAGACATTACTGACGGTAACCGGCTGGAAAGCAGTGAATTCTGATTTAGAATTTTTAACATATTTTTCAAAGCTGTCATTCGAAGTATGAATATTGCTTGCTAAATCAGGGCTAAATATTGCTGCTCACAAGTTCAACATTCGCTGCCTTAATCCGCATCAGAAAACAGCGATTGGAACAGTAATTATTGAAAAGAAAGACGTGTTTGTAAATTTGCCCACTGGCTTTGGAAAATCGGTCATGTACCAGGCACTTCCGTTTGTAATAGACGAGGTGTCCAGATACCCAGGTCGTATTGTGGCAGTTGTCTCCCCGTTGTTAAGTCTCATGGATGATCAAGTAGCACACCTTACAAGTCTGGGAGTAAGCGCGGTTAATATAAGCTAGTGCATGGAAGAAGATTGCGATGGTGTCGAAGCTGGTGAATTTTCTATCGTTTATGGCACGCCAGAAGCGTGGATACTGAACCCTCGATGGAGAAGTACTATGCTTAATAGTAAAGTTTATTCGACAAGATTATGTGCTCTAGCAGTGAACGCATGTTTCTATTCGCACAAGTGCACCAGGTTGTTCATCTGTAGTTGGCTCAAAAGGAAGATATAGTTGGGAATCATCAGCATAGAAATGAAAGTCAAGTTCATGACGTCTAATAATATCTGCAATGGGCGAGGTGCAGGTACAAAATAGGGCCTAGAACTGATTTAACGCCATCGATCATCACAATTTGTGTCCTGTTTTGAAGGTAGGACTGAAACCATTCTAGCACCTTGTCTTTAATTCCAAACCGTTTTGACATTCGTTCCAGTAGGATTTCATGGTCAACCGTGTCGCTGTGGACATGTCCAACAACATCAAAACTACACATTTCTGATTGTCAATAGGTAATTCCAGATTTTCTTTATGCCTGCAGGGGATGATGGGAAGTAACGTATCATATTGCTGATTATGCTGAAAAATTTCAATAAAAACTACCGAAACAACCGAAAAATTGCAATATTTACAAATATAAACTATCACTACTAAAACTGTCTGTACCAGTGTGGGTAGTACCAATGTGAAAATGCTGTGCTGAGTGGTTATATTACTACCTTAAAAAATAAGTAGAAACTCGACATTTCGAGCGAAGGCCCTTCGTCAAGAGTTAAACTTTGACGAAGGGCCTTCGCTCGAAACGTCGAGTTTCTGCTTATTTTTTAAGGTAGTAATATAACCACTCACCACAGCATTTTTATAAACTATCACTCCGTGTTTACACACAGCCATCATTTTTATTTTTTCAGCATAATCACCAATGTGATACCTTACTTCTCATCGTCCCCTGCACGCATAAACTAAAAGCTGAAATAGCAATTTTATTACTCGTGTAACTCCACCTTTACAAGTTACAGAAATTTCTTCGATTAATTATTTATATACTTTAAAGAGGCTGTCATTCCTGTCAAGTCCGTTCTGCTCATGGGCGTGTTTTGTTTACATTTTTGTGGGCCAACAGATCGGAATTTTAATTAAATTATCGATTGTTTGAAACAAAAAATGTAAACAAAACACGCGCATGAGCAGAACGGACTTGACAGCCTCTTTAAAATTATATATATAATGGAAATCACGATTATATTTGCCCATGCGAATGACTGAATAAATGTAAATAGGGGCCTACATCAATAATTATTAATTGCGGTGGTTATGATATTAACTGGTTTGACAATACAATTCGTGTTATGTTTGCCATTTAATATCCAAGTACGTGCTTCCACTTGCATACGAACTCAGGTTTTCAATCACGGAAACAGGGAGTCTCAGAAACTCGGAATCTCAGAAATACGGAATCTCAGAAACACGGAATGTCCGAAATCTCCGGATATCGAATTTACTATAATTATAGTTACTTATTATTTATTCAAACTTATTTTAACAACCGGCGAAAACCCTATATAAGGGAGCCATTGACATGCAACATATTGCAAACTACATAATAAAGGTTACAAAAGAACATTTACTTATTATAGAATTACAAAAGTAGCTATTCAGGAAAATGACATCCAAATGCCCCTTAGCTTCAAAATAGCACTTCCTAGCATTTGCCGATATTGGTAAATTATTCCGGATAAAGTAGGTGGGCATGAATACTAGTGAATAGAAACTAAAAATAAAATTACAGTCGAACCCCTATAAGCGGACACCTCTCTTAAGCGGACACCTCTTTTAAGCAGACACATATCGTTTTCACTAATAAAATACTATTATCATAAAATTAACCCCTATTAAGCTGACACCCCTCTTTAACGGACGCGGACACTTTACTTGAGGTCCCAATGTGCAAACCAACCTCTCTGAGCGGACAGAATATCTGATAAAATGGATTGAATATTCGACAGTAAATAACAATTCAGATCAATATACATGGCACATTGACAGTGACACACCAACTTGGAGCGAAGACATCAGAGCCGAGATTATTCAGGAAGTGACGAACGAGAACTGAGGACTGTGAACCGCCAGCCGAGGAGCCGAAAGATATGTGTCAGATCACTGATGACAACGAACTGAACGAAGATAATCAATTTGACTGGTCTCTTAACGAACCAGTCATTAAATCTTCCTCCGAAGCTCGTAAAGTTGTCGAGCGGCTGGCAGAATTCGCACAATTTTGAGGTTTGGAAGAACTTTCCAACGTCATTTTTATGTATAAAGACATTATAATGGGCTATCGTCTGCGTGAGCCTCGAAATCAAACTTGTATTGATTCCTTTTTTATATGACTGTGAGAGACGTATACATTTTCTAATGGACTTTTATGCACAAAGAATTTTTTTGCATAATTATTTGCTAGATAGTATTGCTGTTTTGATACTCAAATTACACACCTTTGCCTCCTGCTGTGTTTTTCTACATATCCCCTTTTAAGCGAGGTCCCGAAGGTGTCCGTTCGACTGTATACAAATTTCATCTCTTCATAACAGCTATTCGAGTAAAAGCGCGTAAATTAGCTATTAGGCCGCTTTTACACTATGACGCTACGGCAAATTTACAGTAGCGTAATGATTTGCATCCGTACGTGTCAAACGTAGTGGACCGTAGTTAATACGCTACGCCAAACCACTCCGTTATAGTGTAAATACAATACTAAGAAACGTAGTGAATTTTTGACGAAATTGCATGATTTCCGCAGTTAGTACGCTACGGCAAACCACTCCGTTATAGTGTAAACACGATATAATTCCGTATAGTTAGTACGCTACAGCAAATCACTCCGTTATAGTGCAAACACAATATAGTCTCAATAGCCTACAAGAAACGTAGTAAATTTTTAAAGGAGTATTAGCCTTAGCGTCATAGTGTAAAAGCGGCCTTAAAATGGTCAATTTTGATACTCGGGACTCGGTATCCTGGAATCTCGGAAGTCCCTTCTCGGCCATCGTACCTCACATTTAGTTACTCCAATGTTAGTATATTGGTCCAAACAATGCTAAATCACCAGAATAATATTAAAGCCAGATCCATCAGGCTAAGCTATGCATAGTTGGCAAGTGAACGTCTTCAAAGTAAATCACTTTGCTTTCATAAATTAATTTAGTATATACTGTAGCCTCAGCTGCTCGTGATAATAAATGTCAACGCCGAAAGTTCAAGGTTGTTGTTGTTCGTAAAAGCAAAAGGTACCAATGTACTTGTACATACAACTTTGAAAAGTCGCTTTTGAAGCAAGACAGTACCCACAAAATGGAGACATTTAGCCTGCGCGAGAAAGGCTAATCGGCGTGTATAATGGATGATTCCAGCTATAAACTAAATTTTGATCTAGGCAAGAAGAACAAAATCCATTACCTTAGTTTAGCTGGAAAGAGCATCGTAGGATGAGTATGACTGCAAAGTTCGGTTGCGAAATGTTGCAAAATGTGGAAAACCTGGCTAGGTCGGTTCATGTACTGTATAAACTCTAAAACTGAGATACTTGTCAGAGCGGTGTTACAGAAATCAGTTGTTATTTCCAGAGATAGAAAATAAATTTGTCTAACATTGCTGACTCTTCTCTTTCGTCATGTTTTCTTCATCTGCTTCAAAAATGAATGTTTTTTACGTAAAGCGAGTCCAACAAATCTTTCATCTCCACTGCCGCTTTGGCATAATTCGCAGCTTCTTGGCTATCAGGTTTCCAGGAACGAAATGTTCTTGCTAAAGCATAATATACATTCGCTGTACAGGGGCGTTTTTCACCGAGCATTTCAGCTATGTTCCGAGCTTCGTGTAACGTTTCCACTGATTCCTCGAAGCGACCACGATAAAAAAGGCACGATCCATAATTTTTTAGCAAGTACATAAAAGGCTCGTCAAAATCAAGTTGCAGTTTCTTGCGCAGTTTTATGGCATCGGAATAATACATCAACGCCTCTTCGTTCTTTATGTATAAGTCTCCTAACAATTTATGGCAAGTACACGTTAATTCGTGATCGCCCAGCGACTCTTTAGCTGACGACAAAGCTTGATTGTAAAGCGCTTTTGCACAGTCCGTGTATTCTTAGCGCTTTTCTTTATATTTAGTTGCACGTATTTTGTTCAACTCAGCACGCCGGATTAAAATAAGTACCTCGTGAGCATTATCCGTTGGGTTTCGTGCTTTGTTTTCAGACAAAGGCGCAAGGTCATCTTCTGAAAGATCAGGATATGGTGTATTTTTTGGTTGGTTTATAGAATAATATCGGGCGTAAAAATAGTAACAATAGCTATGTAAGGACCTATCTTCTTTTCAACGCTGTCTCATTTCTATCAAAGGCTTTCTTGATAGCCTCCATTCTGTTGATATATTCAGGAGATTTCCATGCAGATTTATAACCTTCTTGATTTGCTACTAGACACTGAAATGTGACCTGAATGGCTACTTGCTCTCGACCTCCGGCTAGCATTATACAGGACTCATGGAAATTGCTTAAAACAGTCCGTGGAAGAAGATCCCAGACAAAGTTGGAAAAGAACCTGGATGAAGACTTATAAATATCACTACTAACCAAGGATTCGATGACGTGTGGATTCAGATTTGTTACTTCATTTTGGCAGCAGATTTTTAACGTTTCTTTGACATTGCGGGCGTCTTTCTTTAGTAACTTTTGGGCATCGGTAAATCCGTCTTTCGAGTAAGATTTCATGGTCAACAAATGGCACATGTTTAGAAAATGTTTTACCATCAATCCTTCTCCTATATATTACCTTTTCATCTTGATGTTGATCATGATCGGCCAGAGATCGTCGAATAAGCGAGTGAATCACGAAGCGCTTATCACTGCTACTCTGTATTAAACTGCGATCTACGAGCTGCTCTAAGAAATCTTGGGTTTCCAACCCATCTCTCTCGATTACCTCTTGAGCAGACTTCTTTTGGAAATTTCCATTGAATACTGAAAGGACGAGCGAATGCTTTCTTGTCTTCATTACTCAACATTTGAAACGAAAACTCGATGGCTTTAACGGGCAATAGGACAGGTGTAGTGTTGTTAAATAGAAAGTTAGAAATGGTAGTGTACTTACTCATGTATTATAATTATGTTTAAAAGATCAGAATATTCATAACTTCTTATTTTGTTTCATAAATAGTTCTTTAATATTCGAAACAAATTCCATATCTGCTTCGTCTGCCATCGCCATGTTTACTCGTCCCAATCTACATGCTGCACGGCATTGCCGCCCCTCCTGGCAAAATAATAAGCAAGCGAGAAAAATTAAGGAGAAAATAAGAGGGTAGGAACATCGTTGTCATAAGCTGGATGCAGTGACACTTCCATATATGGCACAAACGTATCCATAACTTCCATATATGGCACAAACGTATCCTCGACAATCCTCGACGCGTTTTAAAACGTTTTATTTGACGTAGCGTTTTATAACGTTTTATTTGACGTAGGGATGACGTGTAATGCTGCTTCCCGCCTATGACGATTTGAATTAGTCATGTGATACAAGATTGAGAAAGCTGATTCGCCCAGAACGATGACACGCCCACGAAACGCCCACAATGTTCCTACCCTCTTATTTTCTCCTTAATTTTTCTCGCTTGCTTATTATTTTGCCAGGAGGGGCGGCAATGCCGTGCAGCATGTAGATTGGGACGAGTAAACATGGCGATGGCAGACGAAGCAGATATGGAATTTGTTTCGAATAGTAAAGAACTATTTATGAAACAAAATAAGAAGTTATGAATATTCTGATCTTTTAAACATAATTATAATACATGTGTAAGTACAATACCATTTCTAACTTTCTATTTAACAACACTACAGTACACCTGTCCTATTGCCCGTGGGCGTTTTGGACGCACTGCCTTTTGTCAGTTGACTGTAAAGCTTTCATAGGCATAGCTTTTAACCATTGAATCACTCAGTTGGATCATCTAGACGTGGAATTCTAGATCCTGTGATACATAAAGCCAGAAGAATAAAACCACACAGGTTAGCCAACTCAGACAAGTATCCATCTTTTATTTCTTCATCAGGGCAAAACTTTCTGAAAAGTTCGACACTAGATTTTGCATCCAACTCTCCTATCGGAATGCTTTTGGTGGATTGGTTAGGAATTGAGAATGCGGTCCTTATCGTTGCTAGGATCTGCAAATGTTGCTGTGCATTCTTGCGGAGCGTCACCACTAACTCAGTAAATTCGGATCTTACTTCTTCTTCAAGCAGTTGCTCGATGTTATCCATGACAAGGACGACTCTCTCCTTAATATTCTTTAACCACAACGTAAACGATAATTTAGAATCTTCTCCAGGATTAACGCCAACGTCTTGACAGAGACGTAGGAGAACGTCAGGCACAGTTGAAACATTTGACAGGTATGAGAAAATCACGATGATGACATGATTATCGATTAGATGATGGGACACTTCAATTGCAACGGCGCTTTTGCCAAACCCTGGGCCACCAACAATGGAGACAATTCCACAGTGGTTCTCCGTCAAGGAAGAAAACATTTCCTTTACTTCGGCGTCACGCCCAATGAACGTACAAGGTTTGTTTTTGAAATTGGTCCTTTTGAGTAACATAATCTTGTATCATCATCGATCCGTATCGTTGAACAATGAAAAAATTTGCTGTAAAATTAGTGAAGATAAAATAGCATTTTGTGAAAAAACTGCGGGTCTACGGAGTGAGAACTTTTCGGATTTGAACTCAGCGTGTTCGAAAGTGTTAGTTCCCGTAAAAATATTTCAGTTCTAAGACATGCTTAATGAAAGTGAACGATATCGGGTCACAACACACGGACTACTTCAATACAGCTGAAAACAGTATCAAGGTCGGCAAGAATCTTATTGGCAGTGTCAAAAGCGTTGTTAAGATCAGCATCGGTTAACTCTTGATTTGGTGCATGCGCCCAAAGGTTTCTAACTCCTGAACGGAGCTCTCTAACAAAATCGAGATCCACACGCTTGTTTGGATAAATAATTACATCATCCATCCACTCAAGGACGTTTAGAAGAGATGACAACTCAGTGGATTCTGCGTCTTTGACGGTTCCCTTGTTGTGTCCAAGGACAGGCATAAAAAACTTGGCTACCTCCCATGGACTAACAGGGCCACTTCTATGTGTCGCAGTTTTCACTCCATTTTATCTGTCGTTTATTTGCTTTTTTATGCCATTTAGAAAGCTCCTTGTACCACTGGTTGCAAGAGTGGCAAAGTTTTTTATGGACTGTTTCTGTCTCGCGGACTATAGGATATGTGCATCGCCATTTTAGAAGGCAACACAGCTTAGCATGCCAATTTTTACGATCTGGCCAGTGTACAAAGCAACAGGTTTCCTAATTTGATTGATTACTTCTCCAACGGTTATCCAGTTGTTGTGATCCTTGGACGAATTCATTTTTGAAGAAGTAGAATTCTTAAAAGTAAAGCAATAAAATACGATAAACAAACACAATAAAAATCAGTTAACCAAAGTGGACCCTACTAAAACCTAAATCGCAAATTAAGAAAACGTTTTAGGGTAAAAATGTGGCAAGAACACTTGATGTAGTATACTTAAGGTCTAGCTAGATATAAATTTTAGTAAAGCGAATTCCAAGTAACTTTTTTTTGGAAATTGCCGCTAGCGATCGATGGAGTGCAAAACACGTGTATGTATATGTGTACCCGTGGTTTCAATGTTGGAACAAATTTGGAGATTTCTTTGTGAAGATCGTGACACAGTTTAGCCATCTTGCTGATATCATCCGAAAGAGTTGGGCCAAATCTGCGGGATTTAAGTGAAAGCTGCAATTTGTCAATTGACTCCAGTAACAAGTCTACCTTTTTATTTACAACTGCTTGCAGATTACTAGATCCAAAACAGTTGCCAACAGTCTGTTTCAATGACAGTAGTCTCTTTTCTTCATACTCTCTAAATTGGCAGTCCTGCTCTTTAGTTACATTTAATACATCATTCTTCATTGTTGACAACGAGTAAAGCTTCAATTTATCCATTAGTTGTATATTGCAACTAAGCTGATCTACATTAAGCTCATCGGTTTGGCTTGAAAGAAATAAAGTTGGTTATAAATAGCCTAACTGCATAAACTCAGAGGCCCACACTGATCCGTTACTGCCAATGAAATGTTTTGGTCGGTTAAAAACAACTGTATTGTCATCAGTCATCTTTATTTTGGTTTCATTGTCATCATCTTTAAGCTCGAAGTCCATGATTCGATTCACACCTGGTGTAACGTTGACAAGTCGCAATGGAAAGTCATACTTGGGCAAGGTTTTTTGCTTCGTGATGTCAGATGGCTGAATGATACGGACATTTCTTGCACTTTGAACACCTATATTATAAAAATAAAATATCAATATGTTATAGAGCATGGTCTATTCAATTATGTGGTAAAAAAGAAACGCTACCTGTGCTCGTGCCAGGACAAATGTATGCTTTATCGTTCCTTGATATAAACATGTTGAAATTAGCCTCGTCTTCTTTGGATGAATGTAGTTGCGAAATAAGTATACCCTTTTTGAAGGCTCGCTGGTGATGGGTCAATATATTGCCATTTTCTTTAAGCTTTGGTGGTTTTTTGCCACAAAACAAACCAAGGCCTAAATGTTTCTTGGCCTGCAAACTCCTCTTGTTTCTTGGTCTTCCGCGGTTGAAAACTGTTGTTGCTGATTTAATAGGCTTAAGTCCTCTGGAAATTCTGCTGTAATTTGCAAGTTTTAAGAAATCTTTTTTCTTTGCTCGATGACCAGTATATAATACAGAATCGTGTCTTCTGCCATGGGCAGTTGCTTTTTCCTCAATGCATTGCAGGATAAATTGCGCATCTTCCTCGTCAATTTGCTGTGGTCTACCAGAGCTTGCTTTCCTCATTCCAACTATTTTGTCAACAATCATTTTCCTGTATTTTCTGTTTATCATGTGACGTAAACCTTTTGAATATTTCCCATCTATATTAATGCTTTCTTGAAATTTTAACTTTCTGTCTTTTAGGTCTTCTATTTTCTCAGTTAGCTCATCATGCTGCTGTTTGTTTAGTGATTTTAATTAGTCTCCTCATGCAAAATCATTTGATCAATCCTTGATATCTTTTCTGATAGCTCATCCATGACATTCATTTCTGCTTCATTCCTCACTACTTTCCTAGCTTCTATGTCTTCCAGGACTTGGGATTTGTATTTGTAAATTCTTGAACCCAGACCCATTTCTTTGTGTTCTTGTTTTGAAAGGTTTTCCCCCAAGATAACTTTGCACGCTTTTCTGTCCCAACTTGTGCCTAGACTATCCAAAATCCTGCTTACTTGTGTGGCTGAAAAATGTCATTTTTCTCTATCGTCTTTCGTCTGAGAGATTTCTTCAAGAAACAAATCAAGGTCAACATCTCCTGATCTCAACACGACGAACTGGTTCTGTAAGAGATAAACTGGAAGGCCATTTTTTGGATGACAAAGCAAATCCATAAACCTTTTCTTCTGGTGCCGATCCGTCAGCAACGACCTTTGTGCATTTAAGCGATAAGACAGGAACAAAGCCAAGGCTTCATCAAAGTTCATGTACGATAGTCGGACTGTTTTATCCGCAATTTCAATATTTGCCATCAATGTTTGTAACACGGCTCTCAGTCCTTTCAAATTTTCAACGTGGGCTTGGTTTTCATGTGAAGAATCTGGTTCTTTCTCAAGATGGCTGATCCGTTCTGACAAGTAGACTTCACTGTCATTCGGTGCATACACTTGTAAAGACACCCTAACATGCTCTGACACTTTGGAATCTTCTCGTATTTTGGACCAGAGGGTGTTGTGAACGTTATTAACCTCCATATTTGCATTATTATTTGCATAAATATTTGCATATATTTACATAATTATCTCCTCTAACAATTCGGGGGACTGGTGGCTAGTTACTTCAATGTTTTCAAAATGGCGTCTGAGATTCGAGAATTTCTTGAGAAAAACAACCTCTCTCAATACTTCGACAACTTTATAGATCAAGGTTATGATGATATGGATCAAATACTTTCAATGGCCAGCAACCCCTTAGAGCTTAATAGCCTGATGAAAGATGTCGCTATGTTTGAAAAACCCGGACCCAAAAAAAGGTTCTTTGGGGCTGTCCAAATATTGGCCTCGAAAGTTGAGCATAGGGGAGCAGTGGAAAGCCCAGAAACTGGGCTGAATGTGTCTGAAAGTAACCAAGGAAGTGCTAATGATGTATCTATTTGTGAGTATCAAAATTCAAGGCCTGGTATTATTATTATCACTACTATGTTATCTTAGATAGTAAAGAGCAGAAGATGGACTATAAGACTTTTATATTGTCGTTGATTTTTTCTTTAATTTGTTAAATTAGATATGTCATATGGGTCTGTTGACTTGAGAAATTGATTAACATTGAATTGACTTTTGCTTTATGTCTTTGGTCCTTGTTCTGTTCTGTTCTGTTCTGTTCTGTTCTGTTCTGTTCTGTTCTGTTCTGTTCTGTTCTGTTCTGTTCTGTTCTGTTCTGTTCTGTTCTGTTCTGTTCTGTTCTGTTTTGTTTTGTTTTGTTTTGTTTTGTTTTGTTTTGTTTTGTTTTGTACATATTTAATTTTGTTTTGTTTTGTTTACATATTTAATATATTAAAATGTATAAATTACATCTATCACTGAATTTCTAGGGGCTTCTATTGCAAAGAACCTGTGGATCCCTAATCCACTAACACCACAATTGATTTCCACAACATGGTGCTACAAGAAATCTACAATTCAAGCTTTGAGCTTATGGCACCATTGCAATTTAAAGAGTATGTCATAACTCAACGTATTTCCCGATGGAAAATTGAAAAGGGTCTTACTGATTTGCAAAAGAAAATAGAGAATCAGCTAGATCCTGAAAGTGGAGATGGCAGAGCTCAAAATATAGCTCGTTTTTCAGCAGAAACCATCAATAAAATAAAGCCAGGGGACCTCTTCAAAGCAGAGTCTTCGCAGACAGTTGTTCAAATACGACTGGATGGAGTTTTGAAGAAAAAGCAAGAAATTTTAAATCTACGGTCTAATCTGTTTGATAAGGACATGAACATAAAGCAATGGCGTGCAAATGAACTGAGATTTTATGATTCCAAGATAACATTGTTGGAAGAACTTAAAAACTCTTTGCAAAAAACACACACTTTAATAATTACAAATACCAATCTTTTAAACAGAAGGACCAATGCATCGGTAGAAGAAACTGCTGAAGCGAAACGCAAGAAAAGAGCCGTGAGAAAAAATGCACAAAAATCAGCTAAAGAGAAGGAAAAGAGGTTTATTGCCAAGGTAGACGAAATGCTAAAATTGTTAACGTTATGGAAAATTTACCCAAGCTATGCTGAAAGAAAGGGAAGGAATTTTAATAAGTCTTGAAGATATTAACCAAAACTGCCAGTTGTTTGCCAGATTTCATTACGAAGCAATGTCTTTCTGATTAACGAAGATTACTTTGCAACAGATGCCCTGAACTTTGTTAACGGCTTGGCCAAACAAATGGAGTCAAAACTTACAAAATCTAGAGAGATCAATGTCATGAGAAAAGAAACGCTTGCCTCATCCAAAAATCATAGAACACTCTTCCAATGTTGTGTCAATGTTTATAATAAAGTGACAGCTAGTACTTCGCAGAGTGAGACATTACATTCTGACAGCGATGAAAGTGACTGAATCGATTGAAATTATTGCTGACAGTATACATTAATAATTACTTAAACCATTAAACTTCTATGTGATGTATTTGGTTTAATGCCCCCCCCTTTTCCTACAAAATGTATTAAACCCCCCCCAAACTTAAACTTTTGTTTGATACCCCTCCCAAATAGCCTCCGCCCCCCCCCCATGACACATACTTAGTGACCGCTCCCTTATAGTGTTAATTATTAAATAAGAATATATAACTGATAAGATATTAATGTTGATAAAAAATATATATTTAGCAGAAATATAATACTAAAATCAGGTTTCCATTTGGTCTGGGTGATTGTAACAAGATATTATTAATATACATTGTCAATTTATCTGTTCAATCGGTAAAGACTGATTTGCATACAGCACACAAAAGACAAGATAAATCCACCAGACTATTTCACATCAGTGACCATGATTTAGTTGCAACATTAACCAACCAAATGGATACCAGCTTATTAAACAAATTCCTTCAAATTCAATTGCAACCCCCCCCATTTTCTTGAAAAAAAATTTAATAGTCCCTCCCCTTCTAATCATTTATTTATAAATATGGCCCCCCTTATTTTTTCCCTTCCCCACTTCCATAAATAATGACCGGTTCCTAAGCATCAAATATATAATGTTGCTTAACCGGTCAGTATAAACTGCAGACTGCAAACTGCAGAATGAAGACTCGGTACAATGTGCAGAATGAGTACAAATTGCAGACCGAATACGCAGACTAGGTATACAACACAGACTATGTAGTTTATACAACATTCGTCAGAAAATGCAAAATAACACACTTACCGGATTTAAATTACATGGGAAATCTCAATACAGACGGCCGGTGTCGTATAAAATTTTCATTAATTTTCAAGATGTTTACATACTTTATGTAAGCATAAATAGCGTTATGTACCGAAGTGGTTCTGAGTGTACGATCGCCGCGTCGTCCTTCGCCTACCTGCGAGCAGGTGTATTCTTCGGCTTAAACGCAGGCTCGTCGCCCTGTTTTTGTCATCGTGATGAGGTCACGTCACGCCATAAAAATAAAATCGCAATGGCGTGCCCACGGCCGGTAAGTGTCTTTGTTTCTTTTACATATAAATAATGAAAATGTATAAATAATTAAAGGTTATACTTCTTCATCATGAAGTTAATTTAGGTTTAGATCAACTAGGCTTTCCTTGTGATATAGGTCCTCATTTTGCTGAATTTATAAATATAGTTTTTGACCTCGTGTTTTACCGGTCCTATATTAGATCTATATCTTTTAATATGATATACTGATACATGACATTTAATAAAAATGCTAAAATAAACTTTTGGGAACAACTAAGCAGTTGCTTTTATATGGAAGAGAAAACATAATTATTTAGACTTATAATATTATTTATAATTGCTTGACATATTATTTGCTTTATCAATTTAAAAAGTCCTGGGGGGGGGGGAGTTCGAAATTTTCTTCAAGTCTTGTCTTACAAGGTGTTTATATGGAAGCAAGCCAGTGTGGGTACCCGGCCCAGCTTGCTTTGCTGGGATTTAAAACATCCCTATGTAATTTGTACTAATTTAATTTTGCCTTTGTTTGGGAACCGGCCAAGCTCGTCTAGGCGAGATCTAGCTTTGTAAATCCAGGATTACGTCTAGGCAGTTTGGGGCTAGTTCGCAAGTTTTGTTCATATGTTTTCAGACCTGGAAATAATTCTAGCCTTTCTTGGATCCTAGCCAGGGGGGGGGGATTTTCTTTGAACACACTGTTCTAAAATTTAGTCGGGGCATTCTATTTGAAAACTCTCATAAAATTTGGTTCATAATAATAATAATAATAATTACAATATTTAGTCAGGGGGTCCACTGACGAAAGTGATTTTCAGTGGAGCCCTGATAAAAAAATAAAATGAAAGAATAAAAATATCAAACTAACAAAAGTGAATATATGAAAAGTTATATCGTATAAAGTTCTTGCGCATCCAATCGGTTCGGTAGAGAGTCCTATGGCTATGTTGGTTTAATAACATTAACTCTGCTTCACAGCCTTCCCTGTTAACAAAATCTATTCAATTAATCAATAAATTGGATATTGGATAATATTAATTAATTCTATGTTACTAATGTTAGTAACTTAGGTCTTCATAGCATATCCAATTAAATTGTAATAAATGCTTATATTGTGTAATAGCTTATTACAGTTGTACTTATAACTTATAAGCATTCATTACTACCTAATTTGTCATTTGCAAGTTGTGTGATAAAGAAATTTAAATTTCAAGGAATGTTTTTTATGTATACTCAAGTGAAAAAAAACTTTTTTGAGATCGATTTGTGCATCAGGTTATATCACTTATATCAGCGTTTTCAGTTCTAAGAAAATTTCTTTAAAATGGGAAATTCTTAACCATTTTGTTGATTTTTATGGATAATTTTTTAAAGAAATTTCAAAACTTTCTGCCAAAGAAAATTGAAAATCTTTTCTAGCAATCAAAACATTTCCTAGGAACGTCGTTCCGAGGACCACAACTATTTCCAGATCTGTATGTTTAGGCGAATATATCGTTGTAAGTCTGCCTCATATAGATGCAAAATGAAATCAGTTTGGCAAAGCGAGCTATCCCGGGCAGCAGGGTTGGCTTGGTCTCATATAAACACCCCCTTACAGTCGCAGAGATATTGTAACAGAATCCGCCATTCAACTGTCGGTATCCTGAATTTGAAAAACTATTTTGCGGATAAAGAAATATTAATAAATGTTAACTCTAATATCTTTAGCCATTTTGGTCTGACATGTATGCACATAATATTTAATGTTTATTTTCATTTGCAAGTAACCATTGATCTCACAAAATCAGAAAGTGAATCTCCAGTGAGTTGTATTAATTATATGGCGATAAAGGCAGTCAGTTGAAACATTAAACTTGATAATGCAGTAAAATTGTCTGCATAAGACAGAGTGAAACAACAAAGCGGGGTGCTTCTGTGTTCATTGTAGCTGAATGGATTAATTATCCAGTGAATAACATGTATAAGCATTAGCCGTCTCAAGCTAATAAAATATATTATTATTGTCTTGCTAATGATTGTGTCATGTCATGTGCTGTTAGGATATAATTGATTTAACGGATTCATTGAAGAATCTCTCACCTAGCCCAAGCCCGCCAAAGAAAAAGAATAAAACTGAAAAGGTAAGTTATTGACGTAGGAGGACCGACCCCCACAAGGCTCCACTTTGGTTTGCACTAAATATAAAATTTTTTCCTTTCCTTCTAGAGCCTTTCTCTACCTGTTGTCAGACAAGATTTTGTAAATTAATTTGACTTTTGGTATTAAAATATTGTATGGTAGTTGTAGGAGCATAATAGTATATATATATATATATATATATATATATATATATATATATATATATATATATATATATATATATATATATATATATATATATATATATATATATATATATATATATATATATTTAATCTTAAAAATGGTATATGTTGCCTTAATAGAAGATCGGAAATATTCGCGAAGTGCCGCCACGCAGAGAAATTCCACGCGGGAAAATTTGAGAGCGTGCGCGACCAACGAACGCATGCGTCAGCAAACCGTTAGTGAGTAGCGTCAACAAACAAAACTGAACTTACTTGTAATAACAGTTGCCTGAAGATTGCGAAATTGCATGAAACTCTGGCAACATATACCATTTTTAAGATTAAATAAATATTGCTCTACAAATTTTTGTATTGAGCACTCTTTAATCTACTGCAATAACAAAACTTTGTTATATATATATATATATATAGCTAAAGCTTTAATATGAGCATGTCATTTATATGTAGTAAAAAGTTGACTAGCTTTTGTTAAAGCTTTAATATGAGCATGTCATTTATATGTAGTAAAAAGTTGACTAGCTTTTGTTAAGTTACGTTTTGGTAGGTTTTGCCATCAAAAAGGGAAAAATATGTGTCTTTATTGTCCGTGCATGTCTATATCTGCACGCAGTCAGAAATTTTTAAAGGCGGTAAAAATTTCCAAATTTGGTAAATTTCACCACATTGTAATAACCGCTGAGAAAACCTGGTCACACTACATATTGTTATAACCGCTGAGAAAACCTGGTCACACTACATATTGTAATAACCGCTGAGAAAACTTGGTCGCATTAGACTTTTACTTGAACACTAATCTCCTTCCCCCATAAAATATTGGAGTGTGTGCAGCCCACACCCCATGCTGCCCACCTTTTTAGAAACCGCCTCACCTTAACACCTTTCCTTTTAAGTGAGTATAGCTACATTTTGAAAGTATCCTGTAAATTAAACATATTTTTTATATTTTGCTCTTGTAGTTGTCAACTTTTTCCAAACGCCTGTCCTTCACTGATGAAAGGTAGGTGATTGTTGTGCACAAGAATTTAGAATTCTTGAGTTTTTGTACATTGGTAGTAGCAATTGTACAAGTACATGTATCTCACTTTGTATGAAATGGGGATCGCTTACACACATGTGCGATATATTACAAAAAAATGTTATATGTACTGTACCTGTACAATATATTACAATGAAAATTGTGTATGATCTTTATTTTCGTTACTTGTAGTAAACAATCCCAGTTCATCGAAGAACCAGACACCGAGTTCTACAAAGGTGACGCGGGATGCCCTATATATAAGGCATCTGCACCTTGTCTCCGTTCCAGTGAGCTATGTGAGATCATTCTCAATCCTGGTGAAAAGATCTGAACCAAAATTCCACTTGGCTGCCGAAGGAACGCCACATTCATCGATCCTAGATACAACGTGTCTCGTCCACGCTGATGATTTTAAGGCAGATGATAACGGATCTTTCCGCCATCATGGAACCAAGTTTGAGTTCATTGAAATGGATGATGACGGTGAAGTCACGCGCATCGATAAACCGGTAAACCTCACACCGGGTGAATACAAGTTGTCTCATACCTACTGGGTTCATAGCTCCACCAAGACCTTTAAAAGAAGAACCGTTACATTAGAAGATCACGAAGCGAAAGTCTGGCCAGTGATTGTCCTGTAGTATTCAAACACTGGAGCTCTCTTGATGAGCATTAATGCTCTTAGAGCAAACGCAAAAATAATTTAAATATATTGTTTATACAAAAAAAAAACAAACACTGGAACAGGAAATGATGACAAACATGAACCGCAAAGGAACAGCAAAAAACGTTTTCAACCATATTATGCCACTGCTACAAGCACAAAACAACGTATTAAGGAAAAGGCCAAATCATCACTAGGACCATCGTCAATCTTTGATGAGCTGTATGAAGACGCTGGTGGGTTGATGGAGAGCTCTTCTTTGCTTCGTTGCCGCGGGATATTAGCCAAGTAAAGTACGAGAGGACGAAACTGAGACGACAACATTCAAAAGATACTTCAGCGGAACTAATAGAACTGTGTAAGCAGTCAAATGGCAAATTCCTCCATTCGTTGCAAGTCAGCCCTGACGTGAGACTGATTCTTGCTACTAAGGCACAAATTGCAGATTTGGTGAAGTTCTGTTGCAATCCCGAAAATTTTTCAGTTTTTGGCATTGATGTTACGTACAACATTGGCAACTTCTATGTTACTACAACAACATACAGACATTTGATGCTGCTGGACAAGGAATCTCGTGCCCATCCTAATTTCCCAGGCCCAATGATGATACATACAAACGAGGATGCGGCAGTGTTTCATTACTTTATGAGCACATTAAAGGGATTGAACAGGGAGATTGAGAACATACTTTTTGTTGGATGTGATCGTCAAAAGTCACTTGAAAATGGCCTGTCGCCAGAACTACCAATACAGTAGGTCGACTCTTGGCATGCAAAAAAACACTCGATTCCTGGCATGCAAAAAAACACGTGGAGGATAATATCAAACGCAAGATGACATCCCTATTCCTACCCGACAAAATCAAAGCAGAATTTCTACTTGACATTTTTGGTGACCGGAGCACGAAAGGTTTGATCGACAGTGACGACAACGAAGATTTTGACGCCAGACTCCTGTCTCTTGAAAAATCCTGGGATGAGAGAGAGATTGCCACCGGAAAGGAGAAGCCACTCTTCTCTAGTTATTTTGTAGCTAACATCGCTGAGGATATGAAAGAGAAGATGTTTCTTCCAGTGAGAAGATCGACAGGCCTTGGCGATAACTGCTACTTTAACAACTGTCCCGAGAGCATGAACAGTTGTTTGAAGAAGGAAATCAACCATCAGAAGAAGTCTTCTAATCTCGGAGAATCATCAAAATGCTCTTACAGTGAATTTGCTGATATTTCTCAGAAGTTTGTAGAGAAGTACCAACGAAATATCCATAGAGCTATCTTAGGTGACTCCCCCTACATGTTAGCACCAGAATGCGCAGATCTCGAGGTGTTTAAAGAGCAGTGGGAAAAGCTTTCAAAGGGTCGGAAGATTGCAAAAATCACGCTATTGGATGAATGCGGCGCTGAAGATAATGAAGAATCTCCTGCGTCTCCTTCGACCTCTGCATCGCGTAGTTGTTCATCAAGTCAGATTTTGCCCGACTTCGAATCCACTGGTCTGCCAAGTAACTTGAAGCAGTCGTGGTCAAATGCAGAAATGATTTTCCAAAAGAATGAATTTACCAAAGTTCAAGCTTCCTCTGGTTTGTCTGCCGTTATTTCGCTAAGAAAACCAAATCAAGTACATATCATAAAGAAAGCAAGTGGTGGCATTTCATGTGATTGTGATGGGTTTAAGAATTACAAGATGTGTTCTCACGAGATCGCCGCCTCTCAACAAGACGGAACACTGCGAGAACTTATTGCAAAATGGCAACCAAATCTGTCGAACATAGTACAGTAATCTATTCCCAAAAAATCTGGAAAGAAGCCAGGGCCAAAGAGAGTTCGTGGTTTTACACGTGCTCCAGAGCAACGTGATATAAACCGTTTAGATGACCTGTTGAAAGATGTTCCAGCCTTTCCTAAACCTGAAGCGCTACATCTGAGATGGATTGAAGGTTCTAGAATTACTACGTGCTATGGGTGTGAAAACAAGTTCCGCGCGTCTGTGAATGATCCTCCACCTCCCCCTCCTTATGATGTTGTGCTCTGCAGAGCTCAAATTAAAGCATACACTCCCAGTGGCTCCGTGGGGTTACGATTCTCGTTTAAACCGGAGAATGTTTTCTTTCACCTCCGACGATCGTGCGTAGACCTTAAAAGCTCTGAACTCGTAACTGCCGAGTCAGTCGTTGTGTCCGTGTCTGATAGGCAGAAGCTGCGATCAAGCCACCAACTGATGTTAAGAAAGGAATTCGGGGTGGTACTGTAGTTCCGTAATGCTAAAGACTATTCCATGAATTAGAAAAACGTTAAGTTACAGTACAGTATTTGATGCCGTAATAATAAAGACTATTCTATGAATTAGAAAAACGTTAAGTTACAGTACAGTACTTGATGAAAGATACAGTACCATAGGACAGGATAAAAGCATTATTGTCATCATCATACATTACACACTGAACTGACATGACTTTATTAAGGTTGCTGTTACGTTAAGGGTTACTGTTGCGTTGAGGGTACTAAATGTTTGGGTTTGGACTTGTTATGATGTTTTTGAAAATATTTAAGAGTTTGGGACAGAACACGTCTCTGAACGTGTTCAACTGAACACTCTTCCTTAAATCATAATGTAGCTATGAAGTATTCCTTATAGACCTTACCGATTATTCTCTTTTACCCAATGCCCTCTTTCCCATGTTAACTTACTTTAGCACGTCAGGGGCAGATAAAGATTATATTCCCATGTTTTCCTCGACGAATTTGTTTCTTGGTGTTCTTAGGTTAAATAACAATATAATTTTCAACCCTACTAAGTACAAAACATGAATATGACACGGAAACGAGGCCAGTGGGTAAAAAGTGAATAAACGGTAAGGTCCATCACGCTTAGTAAACATTTGATTTGACCGCAAACAATGTTTATACCGTTTATAGGTTGGATTCGAAAAAGTATATATATATACATATATATATATATATATATATATATATATATATATATATATATATATATATATATATATATATATATATATATATATATATATATAGAGTACAATCTGGAGACATGCATGTTTCGTTGTCCTACGCCTCATTAGTGCAGCTTGGTACACATCTAGACACGCGATGACCTTCGTATTGATATACATGACACTTGCTCTCCCAAGCGCATGTGGTACAACACGGGCCATCAACGCATCTAGACATGCGCAGAGTGACATGGGGCCAGAGTGCTCAAACAACCACAAGGGAAGTGAGCTTTGCATTATTGCTAATGGACACCCAATTAACTCCACAGAGTGCTCTCAACACCTAAGTGAAGGAACGTAATAGTACAATCTCTCTCTCTATATATATATATATATATGCTCTGCGCATGTCTGGATGCGTTGAGTCACTGTGTTGTACCACATGCCTTGGTGAGAGCAAGTTCGTGGTGTATAAATACGTGTGTCTCACTCTGCGGAGTTGTTAATGGGTGTCTGTTAGCGATAATGAAAAGCTCACTTCCCTTGTGGTCGTTTGAGCACTCTGGCCCCATTACGCTCTGCACATGTCTGGATGCGTTGAGTCACCGTGTTGTACCACATGCCTTGGTGAGAGCAAGTTCATGGTGTATAAATACGTGTGTCTCACGTATCTAAACGTGTACCAAGCTGCACTGACGAGGCGTTGAACGCCGAAACATGCATGTCTGCAGATTGTACTATATAAATATATATATATATATATATATATATATATATATATATATATATATATATATATATATATATATATATATATATATATATATATATATACTGAAGTATATCTACAGTATGTACCTGTACGTCGTTATCGAAATTTACCATTATTCTATTATTCGATTTACCATTATTCTATTATTCTCATTTTATTACCATTATTAGTTAAGATATAGGGCAGTATGTGTAAGAAACAAGGGGAATTTTAAAGTCAGGACTGGCCCTGCGGGGGGTGTAGGGTTGTGTGACTACTTCCCTAAAAATAAATTTTGCAACGTTTCAGTCGGCAGAGGAGTTTCGGGAAACTTGCGCAAGTCGGTACACAAGCGTGCGGATCAGTCGGTAAGCTTGGAGTCCATCTCACCCCACCCCCACACACCCTGTTTAATAGTCTATTAGGACTATTAAACAGCAAATAATACTAACAGTAAACTGTGCACTGAGCAGTAACAAATATAGCCCACTGATTTCCTTTCTGCGAAGCCGAACGGCGAAAGGTTAGATACGGTCGGAAAGCCGTCGGAACATAGCGCTATGTAAAGGTTACATGAAGTATGTGACAATGCAAAACTTGCTGTAATAGTTTGGAAACTATTCAGTGAGATAAACAATTTTATTTATTTTGTATTTTTTTATGAATGTTATAAGCTTCATAGTCTGCATTTTATACCTAGTCTGCGTATTCGATCTGCAATTTATACTCATTCTGCACATTGCACCGAGTCTGCAGTCTGCAATCTGCGGTCTGCAATCTGCAGTTTAGCAATCTGCGGTCTGCAATCTGCAGTTTATACTGACCGATTTTGAAAAGGTGTTCTGGAAGGAACATATGTCTTGAACAATACTGGTTGACCCTTAAATTATAACTAGTGTCATCTAAATCACAGATAATTGAAAAAAATCTGGTCCATACACAATATTTTGGATTTTATGAGGTCCTAACCTGAAGTTCAGGCCCTAATTTGAAATAGGGCCTGACACAAAACCTATCTAAACTGTGGGATTCCCGTCCACCTGGTGGACGGGAAATCTGATTGGTTCATCAGCATCATGAAGAATTTTGATTGGTTGCAAGTTTACATAAACAACAGTTTTAAAAATAGCTTGGTCAAGGCGACAATTAATGATATAAAGGTCAAACGCGCGTAACAAATTCCATTATCGATTTCTTTGAGTTTCTTTTCTTTTATGCTTTATGGCAAAAAATAAATCAAACAAACAGTATTTTGAAAGGGCTTTATCAAAATCTTGGATGAATTTTGGACACACGACGCTGAAAGAACAGCCAAACTAGTCACGTATTCGAAAGCTTGTTGTTGACAGCCAAGATGTTCTGCCAACTGGCTTCGCCGGCAAAAGTCTTGTTTTTAATATCAGGTCCTACCGGCGTTGTTTTCTGAGCTACATCGCCTTCTTCGTGGTACGATTGAGAATTTCATTGTTGCTGTTGTTAGCCTGTAGAGCTATATATCCGCGTCCAGCAAGTTGAGACCTTGAGAAAGCTTGGCAGTCAAGCCGTGCACAGAACTGACTAATTAAATCTTTTTGTTGGCTGTTCGGTTAAATAGAGAAACTGACTCTTAATTATATAAAAGTACCTTGAATTTTTAAGTTTAATTATAAAGCAAAATGCACACTCTGCGGACATGTTCATGAGAAATTGAGAATATAAATTTTTTGTGTAACGAAATCTACAACACCTGTCAATCATATTGCATGTTGTGTCTAAAAATAACATGTGGGCGTCCCACGGTCTAGACAGGTTTTGTGTCAGGCCCTATTTCAAATTAGGGCCTGAACTTCAGGTTAATGAGGTCCCGAATGGGGCTTATCTCAATGTTGAATCTGTTTACCTGAAAAAACTTAGAAAGTTGAATAAGTCAAGAATTTGACTATGCTCATCATCCAAAACCAGATTTTTCTAATTGCTTTTTTACCTGGGTTTGTGGCAATACCAGTTATGCCACCATGAAAAATGCGCGCGGCATATGGTGGCATATGGTGGCAAACTGAATATGGTGACATTTCATGTTGTCATATATTGCCATCCTCTTATCATAGCATAACTTAACTTATTTTAGTGAGTTTGTTAAAGTGTTATGCTCACTATATGCCTGTAGTATCTAAGATTTATTCATGGCATTAGATGATAAATTTAGGTTCTGTTTTCTTTTATTTTTAGGTGATAGTATCTGTTCACTTGAGTGTTGGTATCAAATTTTGGTCAAGTTTCAATTATTATTCACATTCTTTTATTAAAATATCCAAATAAATGGAATATAACATCAAGCTGGGGGACTAGATCCTGTTTCCAAACTTGTTTTTATAAAAATAGAAAATAACAACTTATTCTATGTTGTTCTAATAAAAACTTTGTTCTCTGTATGCATATTTAATTTTTAAAATTACACTTCATTCTTTGTTAAAATGTGAACCAGGAATACTGAAATCTTTCAGATCAGCTAACAGTACTTTTATAACTTATATTGCCAAGTGTTCTATCTATATCAAATCCATATATGATTTTGACAGCGGTATATATATGAGTCATAAGATATCACGAGTTTGTTTAAGTCTTAATCTACAGGACTATACTCTATAGTTATCAGTTGAAATTACCGATGGTAAATCACTTATTTTGGCCATTTGGTGAGCGTGCCTATCCATGCTCAGCTGGAGTTCACGAAACGAAAATATATTTACCGATGGCAAATCACTTATTTTCCGTTCATACCGACGGTACCTGCGGTACCGATGGTAAGGCCATTTGGTGAGCGTGCCTATCCATGCATGCTCTGCTGGAGTTCACAAAACGAAAATATATATTACCGATGGTGAATAATCTTTTCCGTCGGTATGCTTGCGAGAGTATTGGACATGTATGCCGCATCGACAATATTTTATTTTAGTGTTGTCTTTGCTGTTACGTCGGCTTCGCGTTTTACTTTTGTTTTAAATACCTTAATCGCGTTTAGATTTCAATGCGTGTAGAGTTACTTTTCAGGCCCGTGACATGCCTAGAATTAGCATTTACGTGCTTGTGATCTTATAGCGATATCAAAAAAACTGAGGATTTTAGGAAGCGTTATCTGTACCTTCTCAAAGTTGTTGACAAGAGACGTTTTCGTTCAACATGTATAAAATTACATAACACACAATTATTCGAGCAAAACGGTCTTTTGTTAAAAGGAAGACTGGTTATTAAAATTCCTGATGATGACTGAAACCTTGTCGAAACGTTGATTAAAATGTTAACTATTCGGAGTGTCTATTGTTTTGTTCTTTTTAAAATTACTCAATGGCAACCGTAATTATTAATATAGAAATTGATTCTTTTGAATGACATAATCGTGTGTCGTCATCCATCCGTATCGTTGACAATGACAAAATTTGTTTTGAAATTAGTGAAGATAAAATAGCATGCAATTTGTGAGAAAACTGCGGGTCTACAACTTGGGAACTCTTTGGATTAGTAATCATAGTGGTAGAAAATGGTAAGTTTGAAAAACGTTCTCTGATCTAAGATGTGCTTAATCGTGCTTAATGGAACCGAACAATATTGTGCCAGAACATGTGGACTGACCGTAGAAAATCTTAGCGAAGGTGAACCACGAATTTTTTCAGTCATATGCATGGACGAGAAGTAAGCAACGACTAATAGCCTGTTTGCATGTACGGATAATTAAGATTTTCGATCATACAATGGTTTGGTCATACTTATACCATCTGGTGCACTGGGTTTAGTCGTAACATTTAAAAATTGTTGTGTCTTCGCTTTGACAAGTTCAAATAAAAATGAAGGACATCTCACTGTCACGGCAATTGGCATTAATACACAATTGGTCTCAAAAGAAAAAAGTCTAGTCTTAAAGGAGCTCTACAGTAATTTTTTATGGACTTGCCACCTTAAGTTAGGGAACTCTATCGAAAGTTCTTTTAATAACAGTGTCTTATATGCGCATTATGATCTTCATGTAGTAAAAATGAAACAAAACAAAAAGTATAACCAATGCCTAAGGTGGGAAAGCCATAAAGATTTCACTGTAGGGGCACTTTAAATACGAAGAACGTTTTTAAAATTAGATCAACAAAATTGAGTACTGAAAAGTCCTGGAAATCCTCATAAAATCCACGCTGATTCATGAAAAATGTTTAAATTTCATTGCTAGCTTAAAGTCTATTTATAAGTATTTCGTTTCTCGTAAACTACAAGAAATCTCATAGTTAATGCTTAAATTACAACACGTAACCTGACACTATTACAATGATCTAAAAGAGAATGTTCGAAAGAAATATTCATAATCAGTCATTTTGGTCAAGAAGTGTTTCTTCGTTTGTGAAAGAATATTCCGATCAACATTCTGGTGACTAATCTAAACCAAATTCTCATTGGAAATTCTCATGCGAACCTTAAAGCTGCAGTCATATCTTAACAAATTAAGTCAACCGAGTTAGATCGGCGTATGTTTATCGTCCATAAGAAGGATAATAATTCTTAGAGCAGTGTTACAGAAATCAGTTCTAATTTTTCCAAGAAAAAGAAAGTCCAATGTCGCTTGAGTGTTCTTTCAAGCCATGTTTCCTTCTGCCGTTTTAATTATTTCTTCCAATGTTTTTACACTGTTTGGGTGTAACGACCCTTTCATCTCCATTGCCGCATAAGCATATTTCGCAGCTTCTTGACAATCAGGTTTCCAGCGACGACACATTCTCGCCAACGCAAGATACACACTGGCTCTGCAAAGGGTGCCTGGTTCAGCAAGCTTATCAGCTATATCGCGAGCTTCGTTTAACACATCCACCGATTCATTAAAGCGAAGAAGATAAGAAAGGCACAAGCCATAATTCTTGAGCAAGTACACAAAAGGCTCGTTAGAATCAAGTTGTAGTTTCCTGCGCAGTTGTATGGCAGCGGAATAATGCGGCAACGCCTCTTTGTACTTCCGCATGGTAAAGTATAAGTCTCCTAAATATTTATGACAAGCACTCGTTAATTTATGATCACCCAACAACTCTTTAGCTGACGACAAAGCTCGATTGTAAAATGATTTTGCACGTCCCAGGTATTCCTGATACTTAATTTTATCCGAGTGGAATACTTTAGTTCCACGTATTTTGTTCAAATGTCCTCGCTCGATTAAGATAAGGGTCTCGTCAACGTTATCGATAGAACTTCGATCTTTGTCATCAGACAAAGACTCATGATCATATTCTGGAAGATCAGGACATGGTGTATTTGTTGCTATTCTTGAATAATATCGAGCATAAAAATAGTAACAAAACTGATGTAAGGACCTGACTTCTTTAAGCACTGTTTCATTTCTGTCAAAGAGTTCCTTGATAAGCTCCATCCTGCGGATGTATTCATCAGATTTCCATCCAATTGTATGACCTTCTTGATCTGCTACGAGACACTGAAATGTGATTTCAATTGCTAGTCGCTTTCGAATTCGCGCTAGGTTTATACAGAATTCATGGAAATTCTTTAAAACAGTCTGTGGAAGAAGATCCCGGACAAAGTTGGAAAAGAACCTCGATGAAGAATTATAAATATCACTACTTGCCAAGGATTCGATGACTTCTGTATTCAGATTTGTTGCTTCATTTTGGCAGCAGATTCTTAACGTTTCTTCGACATTGTGGACGTCTTCCTTCAGTAGTTTTTGGGCATCGGTAAATCCGTCTTTGCGGTAAGATTTCATGGTCCACGAATGGCACAACTTCAAAAAATGCCTCACCATCAATGCTTCTCCTATTGCCTTTTCATCTTGAAGTTGATCATGATCGGTCAGAAATCGTCGAATAAGCGAGTGAATCACGAAGCGCTTACCACTGCTACTCTGTATTAAACTGCGATCAACGAGCTGCTCTAAGAATTTCTGGGTTTTCGACGCTTCTCTCTCGATTAGCTCTTGAGCAGACATCTTTTGGAAATTTCCATTGAATACTGAAAGTCGAGCGAATGCTTTCTTGTCTTTACTATTCAACATTTGAAAAGAAAACTCGATGGCTTTTCGGACGCACTGCGTTTTGTCAGTTGACTGTAAAGCTTTCATAGGCTTGTCTTTCAACCATTGAATCAATTCAGCTGGATCATCTAGACGTGGAATTCTAGATCCTGTGATACATAAAGCCAGAGGAATAAAACCACACAGGTTAGCCAAGTCACGTAAGTAAATATCTTTTACATCTGTATTAGGGCAGCACTTTCTCAAAAGTTCGACACTAGATTTTTCATCGAACTCTCGTATCTGAATGCTTTTGATGCGTTGGTTAGGAATTGAGAATGCGGTCCTTGTCGTTGCTAGGATCTGCAACTGTTGCTGTGAATTCTTGCGGAGCGTGAGCACTAATTCAGTAAATTCGGATCTTACTTCTTCAAGCAGTTGCTCGATGTTATCCATGACAAGGATGACTCTCTCCTTATTATTCCTTAACCACAACGTAAACGATGATTTAGAATCTTCTCCAGAATTAACTCCAACGTCTTGACAAAGACGTTGAAAAACATCCGAAACAGTTGAAACATTTGACAGGTATGAGAAAATGACGGCGATGTCACGATTATCGCTTAGACGATGGGAGACTTCAATTGCAACGGTGCTTTTGCCAAACCCTGGGCCACCAACAATTGAGACAATTCCACAGCCGTTCTTCTCCGTCAAGGAGGAAATAATTTCGTTTACTTCGTTGTCACGCCCAATGAAGATACAAGGTTTGTCAGGTATGCAGTTTTTAATTTGCGCCCGTCGTCCAGTTTCTTGAACATTCGATATTTGTAATTGGCTGATGAGTTTTTCGAGATTCTCCAACCTTTTCTCGTTTTCCTTGATGATCTGTCGGTCGGAGATTTGATTTTCTTTTAATTGGCTGACATATGCAACTAACTCACCGCGCAGTAAATTTACAGCATCTAACTCGGCTTTTACGACATTGGTTATTCCGTTAGCTTGTACAAACTCGATCTTCTTTATACACTTCTTGACTTCGTTACAGCGGAAAATGATATCAAGGTCGGCAAGAATCTTATTGGCAGTGTCAAAAGCGTTGTTGAGATCAACATTGGTTAACTCTTGATTTGGTGAATGCGCCCAAGGATTTCTTACTCCTGAACGTAGCTTTCTAACAAGATCGAGATCCACACGCTTGTCTGGAGAAAAAATGACATCATCCATCCACTCAAGGACGTTTAGAAGAGATGCCAAATCAGTGGATTCTGCATCTTTCACGGTTCCCTTGTTGTGTCCAAGGATAGGGATAAAAAACTTGGCTACCTCCCATGGATCAACTGGCCACTTTGATGTGTCGCAGTTTTCATGCCATTTTATCTGTTGTTTATTTCTATTTCTATGCAATTTAGCAAGTTCCTTGTACCATTGGTTGCAAGTGTGGCAAAGTTTCTCATAGTCTGTTTCTTTCTTGCAAACTACAGGATTTGCGCATTCCCCCTGTAAACGACAACACAGCTTAGCATGCCATTTTTTTACGATCTGGCCAGTGTACAAAGCAATAGGTTTCCTAATTAGATTGATTACTTCTCCAACGGTTGTCCAGTTGTTGCGATCGTTGGACGGATTCATTCTTGAAGAAGTAGAATTCTTAAAAGTAAAGCAAATAAAATACGTTAAACAAATGCAACAAAAAATCAGTTAACCAAAGTGGTTAACCTACTTATTATAGGGAAAAACCTAATCCGCAAATTAAGAAAACGTTTTAGCGTAAAACGTAGCAATAACACTTGATGTGGTATAATTATTGTCGATTTCAGGTAACTTTTCAACACGCTGTTCCCAAGTTTGTTGCGAACTTGCCAATTACGTTGTCAACTTCGGAAGTTGGGCTTGAACTTCGCAACGAAGGTACGCAAAGCTTGGGAGATCAAGGAATACGGGTCTTATACCGCCTGTTAAACTCTTTGTGCCTTACGCAATGTTTCGACACTTGTGTAATGTTGCTGTTGGCTATGGCGGCTCAATGAAAAGCAGCAAGACGACGCTGCCTGTAAATATTGAGTCTTTGGAAGCCGCTTCAAACGTTTTCTCGCCTGTGAGATTTGGTGGCCAGAATTATTTAAAGAAAAAGCTATTCGACAAGGTGAGAGTGAACAGTCACACTATATTGCAATACTCGGGAAGAGCATCTGTTGTTGTTGGGAAATCAACACCCGTATTGGCCAATGAAAATTGCTATCATATTTCTCGTCCACAATTTTCAAAAATTTGGGCGGGATTTTTTCATTTTTCATTATTTTTTTTATTTGAATTGTTTGTCAATAATTTCCTTGACCCAGCAAAAACCCCCATAAAAATCTGAAGTAAATCGGTGTATAATTCATTTTAATTTAATACGTCCTACACTACAGTATATTTCTATGTATGCCAGGGCTGACATGAAAAATAGAGGCATTCGGGCGAGTAATATCTTTAGAAAGATACAATTTGAGTTGCGCTTGGGGAATGCAGCAATAAGATATAAAAATACCTTTACCAAGGGATACGAAGCAAACTTTACGGAAGAGATATTCAAAGTTGTAAAAGTATTCAGAGGAGATCCCAACATTTACGAAATAGAAAGTCAACACGGAGAACCGATCATTGGAAAGTTTTACAAAGAGGAACTATCCGCTGTGGACAAAAAGGACGATGTGTATAGGGTGGAGAAAATTCTGAGAAGAAGGAAGGGTATGGTACTGGTCAAGTGGTTAGGATACGATAGTAAGCACAATTCCTGGATTCCAGAAGAAAATATTAAGGATATAAAATAAATGGGCGACATTGAACTAGACGAAACAAATCGCGTCGACGACCACGAAGCCGAAGAAGCCGGAACGGCGGAAGAAGAAACAAGTTTCATCGACGACAACGGGAGACTGGACGAAAGTATATTAATTCCCGTCGGATTCAATCCGGGCGTCGATGGATCAAGGCCCAGCGGTTCCACGCCGAACATCAGGCGGGATGCTGGGGTAATGAAACGGGCCTATACTCTGGATAAAAAGGATTTCCTCAAAAGGGAACTTGGGGTAAATATCAATAAGGGTGACGGTCCATCTTCCACCATCATATTTGACAAAATGAAACTGACCGTAAATAAGGCCGGAACAAAAATTAACGGTGCTACATTCAGGGATGTCAAGATCATTATCTCGAAAAACGGCAGAATGATATACTCCGCGGATAAGAACAAGGAATCCGTCGTAAACGAATACAAAGAACTGATCAGGAAAGCTAAAATAGAGCATTCAAAAACACCTGCAGCCCTAGTGGAGGAACAACTCGAACAACGGGACCTGGATGCTCCTCAGGAACTTATGGATAACGTACTGGAAAATATCGTTGAAAGAATGGATGACGAACTGTTCAGTCAAAGCGAAGCTATCGGTAAAGGTACGGTTATAACGGAAAACGAACTAAGGGAACTGAGAGGTATCCTGAACGTAAAAGGAAACTCAGGTAAACAAAAAATTGAGTATCTTGAAGTAGAAAAAATCACTGGAAAGAACTGGCCGAAACCGAACGAACTGCAGGACGTGAACAGAAGGCTCTCCTGTACGAAGCAATGGCAGACATGGCAGAATTGAAAGCGGATGAAATAAGGTTAAAATCAAACGAACGACCAAAAGGACCGAAAGCCTTGTCCATCGTGGAAGAGGAGGTAGAAATAAACGATCTTACGAGGTTCGAAAGATTTAAGAAATGGTCAAAGGAAAATAGAGCCGGAATATCAGCCGTAGCAATATCTGTGGCCGGTATCATCATCACGATTATTATGGGGGTTAGAAACGTAGCAAAAACGGGAGCGAGAGCAACGAGCAAGTTCGCGAAAGCAATGGCAAACCTGGCTGGAAAGGTTGGACCCGTACTAGCATCCGTACTGAACCTCGTCGCTAAGGTTCTCTCATGTGGAGCAAAGGGCATTGCGTTCCTGGCGAAGATTCTTTGGATTTTAGCTCTGGCATTAACCTACTTCTTGTATAATGAATACAGAAGAAAAAATAAAAACACATATAATAAAACATGGGAGATAGAAAGGACTTTATGAACGAAGCCTTCGACGCCGGTCTTATTACACTTAGCGCAGTCGCTGTGTCCGTGGTAAGCAAAAAATTTGCAGGAGACAGTCTCGGAGTACCTAGTAGTCCGAAAGGAATTTTGAAACTAGCCGTAGCCCTTGGAGTCGGTGCGGTTGGAGTTCACTACCTACAGTTCAAAAAACTAGTACCGGATGATCCATTTAAATAAAGGGAGATGACAAGCGTCGTAGTTGGAGGACTATTCAACGCCGTAGCATTCGCAGGAGCCGGATACCTGTTCAGCAAATTAAACCACAGTGGATACGAAGGCGAAATGAAAAGGCATAACAAAGCGCTGGAAAAATTAGCCAAGGCTAAAGAAAAATGGTACGAAATTCAAGTGGAAAAAAGAAACAGAATTGCAATACTCAGGCAGGAACTACTCGATGCCAAATCGGATATAGAAACGACGAACAGTGCTCTTGACTCCCTGCGAAAAGCGCAGGAGGAATTAACCCTGGATAGGAAACCGACGATTCACGATTACTACAAACCATCGAGCGGAAATGGAAGGATACCAACAGATCACGATCGGAATATTGGGATTGGGGTCTGGATTCGTAATTACAAAATTACTGTAGACACGTCGCAATTTTAATGTTCCTTCGAATATTAAAATCGGTTTCTACTGTCTTAGGCTTTTGTGTCCGATTGCTAACGTGTTGATTCCATCTTTCATGATTATCCTCTTGCCATCGTTTGCTGATAGAGCTACCTTAACTACCCTTTCCGTATATATTTCGTCCAACCTATTCTGAAGACATTCATTTCCCTCCACTGTTTATCACCGCTGAAGAGACATTCCTTATAATTTTCGAATGTTATTTCTTTTCTGATGACTACTTTCTTGACTCCCTTACACTTTTTCTCCTCACCACCGTCTTCCGCCATTTTGTAAGCATATAGCTTTGACCTTAATCCCACAAACTCTTCAATTCGTTTTGCACCCGTTTCCAGCTTCATCATCCTGATTACCTTCTTGTTTACACCCGTTGGGATTCCGGACGTGTGGTCCTTACCTAGATTGCTGGTGTCGAATCTTTCGTAAACATCTTCGGATATATCCTTGAAGAAATCCTCGGTCCTAATTCCGTAGCATAGGGAGTCCGTGTCCGTGAACAGGAGCTCGGCGTCATCCCCATACTTTGGTTTAATGTAGTTGTAGTGAAAGTCGTACATGAGGGTCTTACTGATGTCAAGGATGCTAATCCCCAAGTATATAGGTTTGTTCAGTTTTACGGATGTCTTCATCATGTGAACTGACACTAGGTTTTCGGAAAAGATGGTCGCAGATTTATAGCACTTATTCTCGGTATTAACAAGTCTTATGTCAACCCTATTCCTAGTTGTTCATAAGCTTAAAGAAGTCCTTTTCAAAGTCCGTAGTACCTTTGGTACGTAGGTCTGTGTTGAGCTGGATGTATTCCTTCATCCATGGCTTTTCGTAGAATTTCACTCCGCGGTGGATCTTAGTGAGTTTTAACCCTAAGCTCAGGTATTATTTTAGACCCTTATGTTGAAGGACGTATTTTTCCTTGTTGTTGAGGTTCGGAACGAGCTTTTCCACCTTGTTAATCGTTATTCTTTCGGGTGCGAGGGGGTATGCGTTATGTTTGTCGTGAAGTTTGTTGGGGGTATTCCAGATCCACTTCGAGGATGCAGCTGTAGTTCGTCCACTTCTCCAGTTCTTCGTCAACCATCCATTTGAAGTCCTTGATGGGTAGGGGTTGACTCATTGCCCATCCGTATAGGTTGTTCGCGTCCATATAGGGGAGGTATGTAGACCGATCTTCATCATCGCGACTGATCACCGGTTCCGTACCGGTAATGATTGTAATGATCATGCTAAGCATAGAAATGATTACGGCCGACAGATCGGAAAACCTTTTTCCCATCCACTTTTTGAATCTTTCCAACCCGGTTAGGTTCTTGGAGAGTTCGATATACTTATTGCTTGCCTTAGCATACCTTTTGTTAATGGTGCTGACCCCACCCCGTTTACTATTTTCGATAAATAGGTACATATCCGGATCGGAGATGAGATCCAGCTCCACACCGGTTAACTTCATCGCAGCGCCCCATGCTAGCCCGGGTGCTGTGTAGTACCGCACAGGATCCAGCCCGTAGTTGGTCTTACAAACCTTTCATTTTTTTTTCATCACATCTGCCAAAAGAAGGACGTCCGTTTTCAGGTACAGATCGTGATAGTTCCTCATGGTTTTCATGTTGAAGGCGTTCCACACGTCCTGTGCTCTCCCATATTCGACGTCGCTGATGTTTTCGTTACTTAGCTTGTTGAAGAACTTCTCCTTCGGTGGGAGCCGTGTTTCTTCAAGCCTCTCAAAACCATCCATATATTCATAAGGGTAAACACCCTTCTGTTTAAGAAGCTCCTTCTGTTCTTTGGTATTACGTTTCGACATCAGATCCAAATTTCTGAAGTCATCCTCACCCAAACCATTGACGAGCTTGTCCAGGGAGCTTGCCATGAACTTAAATGAGTCCAGGAACCTTAGCTCCCTTTTGACCTTCTTCTCCTTTCATTCTTCGTTGGTAAACCTAGCGACTTCTATCTCCTTGGTAAAGGAAATGTACTTCCCCTCCGTTTTAGGAATACATTTGATGTCTCCACTACTTACCCAAGGTTTCTGATAAATAGATGAGCATCGTATCCTTCGAGGTTATGAAAAAGTACCGGGATGAATCTCGGTTTTCTCATTTTTAGGTTACACGTATTGTGTGCCGCACCCCTGTACGCTCTCGTATAGTGACAATGGTCACTAACCTTATTGTCTTCTGTGGTGAATTCCTTTCTACATGCATAACAGACAGTCGTCTCTTCATAATTTACGATATCTCTTCCGATCTATCTCGATAGATTCCTTGAATTTAAACCTGTTGTATATATCATGGACTTCCTCTTCCAACATATCCACAAACTTTTTGGTAACGTCTTCTCCCTCGTGTTGTTGGGTATAGTGTACCAGCTTGGGTTTGTAAATGGAATTGTTGAAACACTTGACGTAGTAACAGAATCCGATGGGGCTATGCTTTTGGTATTGAGTGGTACTTGATCTGTTAGGGTTTTGTCCAACCGTGTCCATCCCTTCGATATAGCATTCCAAGTCCGCATAGATGACAAACGGAACGGTTTGTATTCTTTCATAATTCATAAACTCCGTAGTAGTACCGGGTTCTGGGTACTCATGCCTCCGATAGTTGTTGTTCGAACATAACTCCAGATGTTTCTCCAAGAGCCCGCTCGATCCGAATGCGTTAAGGCAAACGATTGCAGATGTGTTTTTTGTGTCCATGATCGCTGACCTGTTCGCCTACAAGCCTGGACATATCCCTGATAACACTATAATGGTTCTTCCACAAGAAGAGGTTTATGGAATCAACACTGTTGGATATTCTCAAGGGACATACCTTATGACATCCGTCAAGTCCAAACACGTTAACACCGATGTTATTGTTCTTTTCAAACTTTTTAACTTTGCTTAGGGGTGTTGGAAACTCTATTCCTTCCCAGTCTAGCTTTCTGGACCGTTCCTTAAGTTCCTTTGAAATCCTTTCCGGATGGATGTTGACAGGATTCAGTGCGCGAGATACAGCCCACTTGAAACATTCATCATCGTCGTTCTTCATGTTGATGATCGCTTTCTTTTTCCTGATTGTCTCGGATAATGGTTCGTAGCCCTTTCCCATTAACGGTTGGTATTCTCCGATATGAATTTCGAGCAGATCTACCCTCCGAAGCCTCCACCCGCTACCACGCTTCTGGTATTCGGAAAAGGATTTTAGCATCTTTTCGTTCATGGTGTTAAAGGACTCTTCCGTGTCATCTATACCGATGAGTTTGTGGGTTTTTGATCTGAAGTGTGCGACGACGGATACTTCTTCCTCAGTTTTCGGATCGTTCCTTACCATCTCGCATGCTAGAGACATGTTTACGTTCCTCGGTTCTGTTTCAGAATTTATAAACGCCTCAACCTCGTCCCTTGTGATATCGAGGAAGTGGACCGGGTCGTACGATCCGTTAGGATTGATGACATACTTCTTTACCTTATTTTTTATACCACGCTTGGTAAGGATGGGTTTCATGAGGTCCTCTCCCGGATTGGAGTCGTACCACTGTCCGTCCTCGTCGCTGAAGTTCTCCCTTGCGTCGTACCACTGGTCCTCTTCTTCCTCTTTACCGCTGTACAGTTTTACAACCTTCTTCCTCATGGTGTTAAAAGCGTCGGACACGCCTTTCCTGATGGATGATGGTACGTGGGTAGTTAGCCAGTTGTACCATTCCCTTTGAGTTCCGGAGATTCTGGACCTAGACTTTGACTTAACTCCTGTCGTTTGCATTGTTTTATTATATAGAAAAAATTAAAAAAAATTTTTTTAGGAATTATTATTTAACCGGAAGTGACGTCATAGGTCACGTGATCCAAAACGCACGCAATGGAAGACTTATTGAAGACTTCCCAAGGCGGGGGTGGTGGGGTTTGCGCATGTGCGGTGGGGTTTTTGGATAGGTTTTGGGTAGGCTTAGGGTAGGCTTTGGGTAGGCTTAGGGTAGGCTTTGGGTAGGCTTAGGTAAGACTCTGTCGAGACTTCTGGAAGCACTCTCAAGGCGGGGGTGGTGGGGGGGGGGGGCGGCGGTTGCGTGATCCAATAACCCGGAAGTGACGTCATAGTTCTGGGCAAGTCTGGGCGGGGCTGATTGCGGGGAAACCGGGAGTGATGTCATCGGGTGCGCGGGAGGGGGTGCGCAGTAAGCCGAAAGTGACGTCATAGGTCACGTGATCCAGATCTGCGCAGAAGGAGGTGCGCAGTAGTGGTTAATTGGTCTTTTTGTCACCCTGGGGGTGGGGGTGGGGAGGTGAGGGTTTGTCACCAAAATGTCCATGAATCGGCGATTCCGTACTACTAATAATCACAGGAAAATTTGAAATTTCCATTAATGGGTTTTGAATGGTTTTTAAAGATTTACCATGATCAATAACGTTGTCAGAGTTGCTGAATAAATATTTCGAGGTTCTATTATAATTTTGAATTTACAAATTTCTTGTAGCCCATATTACTCGTTGTCACAGTCACTCTATAGCTGAATACATGTCCCAGTTAAAATTTCAAGGCAAGTAACTGATCCACACATCAAAGCAAATCATGCGCACAAACAACATTCTGGCTGTTTTATGCGAATTCACTTCAACCTTACCCGCAAATGAAGCCTGGCGTACACAATACGATTTTGGTCGGCCGATTTTAATCGGACAAGACCAAATTGTCTATCAGCCGATTTGTTCAGTGTATTCCGATTTTTATCGGTTATCTCAACCAACTACAATTCAGGCTGTGACAACATAGTTTGAGAATTTTCGCTGAATCTCGTATAGTTATAATTTTCGCTTCGCCCGTTCATTATCAGATATCTGATGTAAAACCGACTTAATTTACCTAACTGTAACCAGACCTCATAGTAACCGATTAGGCGAGGATTTCCTGCCTTATCATTTAATCATTTTAATTTTTAAGCATGTTGAAAAAACGAGGAAAAATTGTAATCGTTACAATTTAAGTTATTGTCACCTTTTAATAGATGTTTTTTGAAGCTGATTTTATTTATAACGTATCAGCAGTACGTGTCTGTGAGGTAAACGTTTGTGTTTAGCGAGCTCTGATCCCAATATTCACATCATTACATTAGTATGTATAACTACTGTATATATTTAGTAATTGCTAGTCTAATTATATTGGCTTCGACCAGTTACAAGAAATGCGCAGTTTCAGCTCGGTTTAGGAAACAAGACTGAGTAGCCTCGTTTTGGTGCTTTTGCGCATTTCAAAGCTTGCTTGGTTTAAGGTTTTGTTTTCAATCTTCAACACTTACACTTTGCTTTAAATAACAGTCTCGGTTGAAAAATTGTTGATTAGCATAGTAAGGCCACATAAAATAAATTCCTTGATTCTCATCACAGCCCGACTGTATTTTAAGAGACGCGTGAAATTTTTTTATATTTTGTTATACAATATAAATGAACCGCCCGACAAAATATTTCAAGACAGTTAAGTTTTTTATATTTAAAATTGGGTTTTTAGTGTCATTTTAAACTGCCAATTTCAAACAAATAGAACCTTGAAAGAAATTTCATTGCATTTTAACGGAATTTCGCATTCAGTTGAACGGTTCAGTCATTGTTCGTGGAGAAATATGTTCATTTTGGTTTGTGACACTTCACTTTGGAAATCACGGAAATATTAAATGTTATTTATTGAAGATAAATTATATAAATATAAAATATAAAATATAAACCTCCCGGCTCTTCGACATTTTCACAGTTTAGTGATGAGAATCAAGGAATTTATTTTATGTGGCCTAATGCATAAAAGATAAAATAACATCTTGGTAGCTAGTTCTCAAATTGGTCAATATATCAGTATATAACCACAAATTGTTCCTTATTTGTACATACTATATAGTTAAAATGAGCTTACTCTTACTATAGTACCTATACAATATATTACATATAAATGAATAACAATGTATAGATAAGAGGAGTCAGTTATACAGAATACTGACACATGCAGCTGATATTATGGGGTTAACAAATACTAAATAGTCCTATTTACATTTATTGTAATCAGAAATAAATGAGTAAATATATTACTTCTAAATCACTTACCTGTAGTTTGAAAGAACACAAATTACATTCTTGCAAGCTTTGATCACTATCAACAACACACTGTATATTTCAGTTGGTCTGAAAAATGAAAGATTCAAAATAAACTGACAGTCCGTGTTGCTCTTTATTTCCTCAGTTATGACTGCATGTTGTGTCAAATATGAATATAACTTAGCTTTCCCTATATAAATTCTCTTTTCCGGAAGTGAGATATCCGCTTTAGAGCGCTTTATTATCTGACACATTTACGAAATTATCAGTTGTAGTAGATAACATAAGAGATCTTTATATACGCAAAACATCGGTGACAAGATATAGGGCGCCAAAGCCGATATCTCAATCCTGATAACGGGGCTCATGCAGTACTTTCTGGTAGGGTGTATTATTCTGAAGTTTAACAGTGAATTTGTCTGGTACTTATTAGAAACACAGAAGCGTAACAAAGTCTGAAACCATTTAGCGATTTTCTAAACAGCAGAAATCGATTTTAACACAAACACTTTTTGCTGACTTTAACATTAGAGCTTTTAAAGGACTGTGGAAATCATTGCGAGGCATTACGAAACATTACGAGCGTCTTACGATGGTTCACGAAGTCTACGAAGAGGTACGAAGGTATACGACAACGACGTTTACGATGAAACGAAGAAACCTCAAGAAAGACAACCGCGGGAAGCAAATTTGTTCATATTTTAACCTTAATATTAAATTTGGGCAGAGTTTTAAACGTAAACATTCGCAAGTTAGAGTAAGATATTGGTAAATTCAAGACCTTAGCTAGCCCTTTTAGCTCTTCGCGTTTCACGGCACGCATATTCATCACGATTGACGGAATGGTATTTCTTCAAATCACGAATCACGAAGCACGAATAATTGCTAATCACGAGTAACGAAAATACCCTTGCCGCCACCACCCTCTTAAAACGCCTAACACATAGCTTTGATCCGACTTAACGTCGACAAGATTTTATAATCACTTACAACATTCTTCTACAACATTAATTCTTCTACAGAGCCCGCCTTGGCTTTGGTGGCATGTTTATAATTACCACGCATCATCACAGTAAGACACCACCCTTGCCCTTGCATTTAATGAGTTTAATGATTTAATGAGATTCGGCTACTATTTAAATACAACATATAGAGCCAGGGAATTCGCCACAGGTTTCCCCAATTACGGCGATCCCATGCATATAAACAAGGATTAAATTACTGTACAAAACAAATTTTCAATGCGACTTAACAAGCTAAAACTAATAACGAAAATCTATATTGTCCATGTTCAATAATATAAGACTAACAACAATATATTACATTGTTAAGCGATCTGGCTCTTTTGCACTTTACACACACTGATTTCCTGGTGCGCGGATCGTCACATTTGAAAGTTTTGGATGGTGCATGTTTTTAATAGAATTTAAGTCTTGAGTTAAAAGATAGCAAACCTAAATCTCTAGTACGCAAGTTACTACTTAATATGTTTCACGTTTTGCAAGTTCTTATAAAACATGAGATCTGGAATGTTATACGGTTTATGCATATAAGGTGTAACAAATCTAATCAAGTTTGCGTTTGATTCGCTTCTTGTAATTCCGGATCCAGCCATGATCGGTAGAGCACGTTCAATGTTTGACTGAAGACTGAATTTCGACCGACTCAGTATATCCATGTTTATTTGGCTGAATCTTTTAACTAATATAAAATGTTTGTAATTTTATGGTAAATAAGATTTTTGCTCTAAATACGTGAAATTTATAAAAATATGTTACCCATATGTAACATATATATTCTGTCACCAAAAACGGTGCCAGAATAACACTTTTGGAGTTGCTTCAACTCCTTGAAATTTACAGTGTGAAACTTGCTTAGTAAGCCGTTATAAATCCAAAGCAAGTACTTGTAATAATTATAATCACAGGAAAAAATTGAAATTTCCCCCCATGGTTTTGAATGGTTTTTAAAGATTTACCATGCTCATATACTATATTTGTGGTGTTACTCTGAGTGTATATCCACACCGGGCGAGCTTGAAAGATATGCCCGGCCACGGTGGGATTCGAACCCACGACCTTTGGAATACTAGCCCAATGCTCTTCCAACTGAGCTACGCGGTCAGGACGGTTTGAGTAAGTGATATTTCGGAACAGAATCTAGTTCCTTCGATACCAATGTATTCTAGTAATATATCGAAGGAACTAGATTCTGTTCCGAAATATCACTTACTCGAACCGTCCTGACCGCGTAGCTCAGTTGGAAGAGCATTGGGCTAGTATTCCAAAGGTCGTGGGTTCGAATCCCACCGTGGCCGGGCATATCTTTCAAGCTCGCCCGGTGTGGATATACACTCAGAGTAACACCACAAATATCATATTCACCTGAGTACACTACACCAACACAGAAAAAATGCTCATATACGTTGTCAATTTTCCTGAATAAATATTTCGAGGTTCTATTATAATTTTGAATTTACGAATTTCTTGTCATAGTCACTCTTATAGGCTAATATTTTGCAGAAGATATGTCCCAGTGAAAATTTCAGTGCAAGTAGTTGATCCACACAATATTACCGATGCAATGTAATTTCTTTTTTTTCCTTTTATTGCCCGTATATTATAACATATAAATATTTACATTAAAAAAAAAAATTAGATTAATGTTATGGTAGGGGCCTACCAGAAACCTTAACAGGCTTTTATTTAAGACCCCTATTGATATAAAATTTAGATGCTAGTTCTAACTACAGACTATATACAGTCAACCAAATTTAAAATATATTACAATAAGTATTATAGTTAAAAGAAAAGAAAGAGAGAAAATGTGAAAGCTATTTACAGCATAAAGTGTTACATTGTACATATAATTTGATTAATTACTTGAAATTTGAAGGAAGTGTTCTTTTATAGTATTTTTGAAAGTATTACGAGAAGTGATATTTTTAAAATGACATTCAAGTCCATTCCAAACATCGACTCCTTTATTTGAAAGAGTATGTTTTACATAGTTCGTTCTTTTGTATGACTTGTGGAGTTGTGTTTTATTTCTTGTATCGTGTTGGTGGATTTGATCATTGGTCACAAAGTAATCAGTGAATACCTCTGGTAGATTTTTGGTGTAGTGATATCGAAACATAAATAAACGTATTAAATAATCATTAATTTTATAAATATCTAGAATTTTTAAGTCTTTAAAGATTGGTTCGCTATGTGCCAAATAAGAGTTGAAAGTCATAAGGCGCACAATTTTTTTTTGAACATTCATAAGTTTTTGGATTCTTTTTTTGTAGGTATTACCCCAGATTATATTTCCATAGATAAGATATGGATAGACTAAAGCATAGTAAATAAGCTTAAGAGAATTTAAATTTGTAAAATGTCTTATTTTTGCTATTACTCCAGCAGATTTAATAACTTTAATAACTTTGTAATGCCCATACATACAACATTCTGCCTGTTTTATGCGATCAATTTACTAAACCTTACCTGAAACTGAAGCCAGGCGGACACAGTGCGATTTTGGTCGGCCGATTTTATCTAGCCTGCGTCACAGACGCTCGTGGACAGACTATGGCGTAGTCTAAAATTTTAATCGGATGTTTATCGGTTATCTCAACCAACTACAACTCAGGCTGTGACAACATAGTTTGACAACTTTCGCTGAATCTCGTATTATTATAATTTTAGCTTCGCCCATTCAATATCAGACATCTGATGTAAAATTGACATAACTTATCTCACTGTAACCAGACCTGATCCTAACTGATTAGGCGAGGATTCCCTGCCTTATCATTTAACCATTTTAATTTTTAAGCATGTTGAATGAACAAGGAAAAATTGTAATCGTTGTAAATTAAGTTATTGTCACCTTTTAATAGAGGTTTATGAAGCTGATTTTATTTATAACGTATATATTATATACTTATAAAACCATGGACAATTTTATCAGCAGCACGTGTCTGTGAGGTAGACGTTTTAGCGAGTTCAGATCTCAATATCCACAACATTACAATAGTATGTAGCTATACAGGGTGTCTCAAAAAACCCGCTACCCTTGGAAATTCACCATTGTTCTAATTTGAATGCCTGAGTGCTATCTTGAACTCATGGGTGCATGAACAATTTGAATGGACAATAAGACAATAAATACTCTTTGCTCTGTGCTCAGTTGAGCCATTTGCTTGACATTCACTAATATGTAATTGAACGATTTTCGTGCAATTATACTTTTGTGAACCTATATTCAATTCCCAGGATAAAAAATTTCGCTTTTCAAGGATATTTTAATTCCGAAGATCTTTAATATATGCATCCTGTGAAAATGTTTACGCATTCATGGCTTCAACAAGGTTCAGGCATTCAAATTAGAACAATGGTGAATTTCTAAGGGTAGCGGTTTTTTTGAGACACCCTGTACAGGGTGTATAAAAAAAAAGCGCAACCTCGGAATTTCCCAAGAAATCGACATTGTTTTATAGACAAAGGATTTTAGGCTCCTGGGAATTTAAAATAGCATAACTGTCAAAATTACTGCACACGCGAGTGCATAAAGCAAAATTTATGCATTTATTTAATCACAACAACAGTAATATGATCTATTAGCAATTCGATTTCAATTCCCAGGGGAATTGCAAAGTGATTTCTTAGGAAATTCCGAGGTTGCGTTTTTTTTTATACACCCTGTATATTTAGTAATTACTACTCTAATTATATTGTCCTTAGGCCAGGTGACACAATGCTTCGGTCAGTTACAAGAAATGCGCAGTATCAGCTCGATTTAGCAAAGTGCTTTTGCGCATTTCAAAGCTTGCCTTGCTTAAGGTTTTGTTTTCAATCTTCAACACTTACATTTTGCCTTAAATAACAGTCTCGGTTGAAAAATTGTTGATTAGCATTATAGTAATGCAACATTTTAGTAGCTAGTTTTCGAATCGGTCAATATATACTATATAACCACAAATTGTTTCTTATTTGTATTTACTCTTTAATTAAAATTAGCTGACTATATTACTATATAGTACCTATACAATATATTAAATATAAATGAATAACAATGTTTAGAGACGAAGAGTCAGTTATATATACAGAGCACTTACACAGCTGATATTATGCATGGGTTAATAAATAAATTGTACTTACATTTATTGTAATCATGGAGAAACTATAAATAAGTAAATACGTTAATTACTTCTAAATCACTTACCTGTAGTTTGAAAGAATTCAAATTACAATCATGCAAATTTTTACTACTATCAACAACACACTGTATATCTAAGTCATTGAATACCAAATTCCTGTTTTTTAATAATAATATATATGCATGCCAGTTTGAAGAAAGCGCAGACATTCATGCAAATGGTCTACAATAAAAGCTATCTGTTTTATAATTAACTAGGAAGGCCCCAGGTAGGGGCTATTAATCAAGTTTTGACTGAAAGTCATTCCATAGGTCACAGGCGGCCCAATCTCAGAATGAATGATCAGGTGTTGCGGGTTTTTAACGGTTTTTATAAACAAATTTTAAATAGTCAACCAAAACTATTTTAAAAACAATCTCAAATTGGTCAAATAAATACATTTTAACAATAAAATATAGTTGACATGATAGTATAATACCTTTGCATTCTTTTAATTAATCCATGAGCTCATTTAGAGCGGTTGATGTAACATTTTCTGTGGCCTACATTGTGTGTGCTCATCTATATATAATATAACAGTAAAAGGCTAATCACTGGCGGCACGACCCCATCGCCTTCAATGTCAAATATCTCCGCTCAAACTTCTCGTACGCCAAAACAAATTCGATTACATCTTTTCACAAAGATTTCTCTTTCTAAATAATATGGTTTGATCATAGTTTGGGCAAATTTAGCGACGAACGGAACCAAAATCTCCTCAATTTCGGATACTGTTCAAAATACTTAGGGCTGCTCGGGCACGATCGTGGACGTGACGTAATCAATACATACTGACAATAACGCCTTAACCGGGGTGGGACAGCATATCAAATCCGACGATAGTTTGTCGCTTGATGCTGTCCCACCCCACGTAAGGCGTTAAGGCGTTATTGTCAGTATGTATTGATTACGTCACGTCCACGATCGTGCCCGAGCAGCCCTAAGTATTTTGAACAGTATCCGAAATTGAGGAGATTTTGGTTCCGTTCGTCGCTAAATTTGCCCAAGCTACGATCAAACCATATTATTTAGAAAGAGAAATCTTTGTGAAAAGATGTAATCGAATTAGTTTTGGCGTACGACAAATTTGAGCGGAGATATTTGACTTTGAAGGCGATGCGGTCGTGCCGCCAGTGATTGGCCTTTTACTGTTATATTATATATAGATGAGCACACACAATGTAGGCCACAGAAAATGTTACATCAACCGCTCTAAATGAGCTCATGGATTAATTAAAAGAATGCAAAGGTATTATACTATCATGTCAACTATATTTTATTGTTAAAATGTATTTATTTGACCAATTTGAGATTGTTTTTAGAATAGTTTTGGTTGACTATTTAAAATTTGTTTATAAAAACCGTTAAAAACCCGCAACACCTGATCATTCATTCTGAGATTGGGCCGCCTGTGCATAGGTATGGGTCTTTTCTGTGTATTTGGGGAAAGACAAAAACAAACTCCCACCATTTCCCCAGGGATGGGGTAGTGGGGGTTAAAATTGAGTCATGCAACAATTGTTATTATTCAATAGTTTGTTGCAAGATCTAACTACCCAAAAAATACAAGAAACTCAAAACAAATGCCCTGGTTGACACAGTATTGTGAAAATTCCATAAGAAGAACCTGCACTCAACATATTGAAGTTAAAAGTTACATACTATTTATCACTACCTTCACTGCATGAAACCCGGAAAAAGTTTACATAATTATAATGATCATTGTTATCGTCAGAGCGTCTAATCGTTATCAGGCAGGACTACTGGATACTATTTTTGCATTGCTACAAGTATTGCCAAAAGAGCATGCAGGACTCTTACTGACGCGAGATAGTATTTATCAGCATCAAGCAGGTTGCATTCATGCTCTAAAATGGACCATTTAAAGCGGTCTAATTAGCTTCTTCTAATTGCCTCATCAGGCCAGAATGTGCCTTACTTTGCCATCTTGTTCAGTCCAACTCCAAGCAATTTTACTTGTATTGTACATGTACTATATAAAAGTTAATCCTTTAAATTACATTGAGCCTAATGCGCCTCAACTACCAATTATTCACCTTTTGA